TCTATTTCCATGGGAGCAGAGGCGGGGATTTTATCCAAAGGAATCACTGATTGTTATCACATCCTACTTCCTGACCCCCCTCCTGCAGCATAGCCCCTGGTGTGGAAGGAGAGGGACCTGGGCACAGTGACCAGGACCCCAAGGAGGGCCTGGTTGTCTGAGGGCACAGTCAGCACCTCCTTCCAGGAGAAGCCCCACAGACCAGGACCTCCCTCACCACTTGCCCTTTGTATGTGCAGACAACTCCCATATGCAAATGCCCACACAGCCACCAGACACACACACAGTTGCCATCCACTTAAATTCAGGGCCTCCTCACCCTGGAGAATACTTTTTGGGGGACGAGGACCTCACCTGCAAGACATGACTCCCATGTGGCTCTTCCTCTTCCTGCTGTGAGCTCCCAGATGTGAGTGACTCAGGGCTTAGTTGTGAGGAGATGGGGACCCGGCATCTGAGCCCAGAACTCACTGTGTTCTCTCTGTCCCAGGTGTCCTGTCCCAGGTGCAGCTGCAGGAGTCGGACCCAGGACTGGTGAAGCCCTCGCAGACCCTCTCCCTCACCTGCTCTGTCTCTGGTTACTCCATCACCAGTGTTTACGACTGGAGCTGGATCCGCCAGCCCCCAGGGAAGGGGCTGGAGTGGATCAGAATGATAATTTATGATGGGAGAACTTACTACAGCACCTCCCTCAAGAGCCGAACCACAATCTCCAGAGACACGTCCAAGAACCAGTTCTCCCTGCAGCTGAGCTCCATGACCACCGAGGACACAGCCATGTATTACTGGGCAAGACACAGTGAGGGGAAGTCAGTGTTAGCCCAGACAATAACCTCCCTGCAGGAAGATCTCTGACCACTAGGGGGCGCTCAGGGTCCCTCAACACAAGGACCATCCCAGCAGCTGGTGCAGTTGGAGGTCTGGGCTGGTTCCTGTGTGGTTTCCTCTTCATGTCACAGTTTCCCTCAGGGAACCTCTGGATCCTGATTCTTCGCTGACATCTGAGTCTCTGAGTGAGAAATTCCGTTGGAAAGAGAGACAACTTTCTCCTGTGAACAACAGGCAGAGAGTCTCTTTCATGCACACTTGGGCCATAATGAGTTTTATCATCAAATCTTCTGACCCACGTCACCTGAATCTAACAAGAGGCTCTAATGACCCAACAGTGCAGCTCCCCTGAATGCTGGACCCTGGGCCCCACATGTGTGAACCCAAAGCTGCAGAAGAAGGACCCACAGGGTGACAGTCCTGGTCTTGTCCTCATGCTCACAGCACCCAGAGGAGTGGACACCATGCAGGAGCAGAGGCACAGCAGCTGGTACAGATGTTCATGACACACACACTCACCAAGGGGATGTGGGGTGGTTATTATGCTCCTGATTGAAACCCCTGAGAAGCACAGGAAAGATCACTCAGCAAGTCAGACCTGCTTGGATGGAGACTGGAAAGGAGACAGGCACGGGGCTTCTACTTTGGCGAGGTGGTGGGGGAGAGGGGGGAATTCTGCTTCCAGGGACCTGTGTGACCTCAAACTCCCAATAACTACTACCAAAAAAACTATAGCCTCCTCCCCCACACCTGCGCACTGCCTTCCCTGTGGCCCCTGCAGTCCCAGGTCCAGGTAAGCTGCCTCATGACCCACCTCCTCCCCAAAGCCCTACCACCAGCTGGGCAGCAGCCAACACCTCGGTCCTGCTGTCCCCTCTCAGTCCTCACATTGCCATGGGCCAGAGCAGGACCAAGCACTTCAAGAGACCTCAGTTCTCCCTCCAGGCGACTGTCAGGCCCAGTTGTCAGCAGCAGAAAAGGGGACTGAGCAAGAGGAGGCGGAGCTACTGGTAAAGCTCCAGCATCCAGGTCCTGAGTGCGCATGCCCAGGGCTGGCCCAGCTGGAGCAGGAGCAGCTGGTGCTCCTGGACCTGGGGGACCTGAGAGACCTTGTTGCCTGGACCCCTGCACCCTCCGCCTCAGGCCGCTGCTGCTGGACCCCAGCCTGGCGGTTATGGAGAGGAGGCCGCTGCTCAGGAGTCTCAGTGCTTTGGAGGCTTTGAGGTTTGCGAGGACATGGTGACTGCGGATCTCATGACCCGGGTCGCACTGCTCCCAGAGGGCAGCGCTGGTGGGTTCAGACGCGGGGCCTCCATGGAGGAGAAAGAGCAGAACAGAAACCCTGTGAGAACGTGGCCGGGAGGCCGCTCGCGCTGGGGAAGGTGTGTGAGCGCAGTGATGGGGCAGCGTCTGTGCTCAGCACAGAGGGCGTTTGGAGATGGTGGGACCGTGTTTGGGTGGGTTTCCCCCAGGGGACCTGGCTGCTGCAGGAGCATGTTGTCTGCGGGTGGTACCTGGGGTCCCCCAGAGCTACTGGAAGCACTCGGGGCACAGCATGGCGCAGGCTGGAGGCCGCATGCTGTCCTCTGGGGGTCCCTGGAGCGTGTCCTGTGGGAACCGCTGTGGGCGGCGCAGGTTGGAACTCAAAGGACATGGTTCTGTCCAAGAGTCGAGCAGGAATCAAGCGCCTCCCAAGGGTTCATCCGAAGTTTTGGAAACGGACTCGGGCGCGGGGGTCACTCAGACGCAGGAGGCCGAGATGGAGATGGAAACCGCCCTGGAGGCCGAGGAAAGGCTGCAGAAGGCAAAGGGCGGGTCAGACCCAAGGGATAAGATGGAGGAGGCTCCTCCTGAGAGAAGGGTCAGGAAGAAAACATGCATCTGGGACTGACTTCAGCCCGTTGACCAGGAGCCCCAGACCTGCTGCAGGTCCTCTCCACGAACCCTCTGGGGCCTTTGGACCTCGGGCTAGAACGGGGAAGCGTGGGTGGATGGTGGAGGATAAGGCCCCTTTCCCAGGGGCGGGGGCGAGGGCCGGATCCCTCCCCATTTGCTCCCCTCCCCACCCCGAAAACCGCAGTCAACCAGCACTCCTCAAAACGGGCAGCCGCCAGAGATGGTTGCATAGTGTCTGCGGTGGACCAGATGTCCAGGCCCGGACTTGGTCTTGGTCAGGGGTCCGAGAAAGAGAGCCGAGGATGGGGGTCGACAAGATGTCCTGGCCTGGACTTGGTCTGGGGCAGCGGTCTGAGAGAGATGGGGAAGGGTGTACACCAGATGGCCAATCCTGGACTTGGTCTCGGGCTGGGAAGTGGAATCACTGTGTCAAATAGGAGTTCCATTTTTAATTTTTAGGTGGAAACTCTATACTGGTTTCCATAAAGGCTGCACCAGTCTGCATTGCTAATGGACCAAATAAACTGATGAACAAAAATAGACCCAGAGACAGAAGCATGAACAGACCATGGAAACTCAGAGGGAAGGCAGGGGAGGGTCGGTGGGAAGAGATCAACCAATGAACTTCTCTGCATATATGCTTAATCAATGGACACAGAGAATGGGGTGGAGAGGGCCTGGGGAGGGAATGGGAGCAAGCAGGGAGAGGATAATGGGGAGAAAAGGATGTCCTATGCAATACTTTCAACAGTAAAGATTAGAAGAGAGAGAGAGATGAGAGAGAGAGAAAGAGAGAGAGAGAACCTCCTGTCCACAATCCCAGCATCCAGTCCCAGCCTTGCTCTCTCCCCGCTCCATGTCACTCCTCACTTTCCCTCCTTAACTTCAAATGCACAAACCCAGCTACAAACGATTATTCTCCAGAGCATTTGAGGTCTTGCTTCCCAAAAGTTGTCAACTCTTTGGCTGGAATAAAATCTTATAAAACATTCTCTTCATGTTTGGACAGTTCTTACATCTACATGTTGTCTTTACTTCATTTACCACGTATGTTCATCCAGGTTTCTTCCCCTTGTGGAGAGGGGTTGCACACACTTATTAAAACCTATTACCTCAGCCTTAACCGGTTTGGCTCAGTGGATAGAGCATTGGCCTGCGGACTCAAGGGTCCCAGGTTCAATTCTGGTTAAGGGCATGTACCTTGGTTGCGGGCACATCCCCTGTAGAGAATGTGCAGGAGGCAGCTGATCAATGTTTCTCTCTCATCGATGTTTCTAACTCTCTATCCCTCTCCCTTCCTCTCAGTAAAAAAATCAATAAAATATATTTAAAAGAAAAAAAAAAAAACCTACTACCTCCACATGGTGGTGGAGGTGATTCTAAAGAGTTCACACCCTTCGGTGTGGGGATGACGCTCCAACCACTGAGGCCCATCAGCCAGGGCTCCATTTGTAAATGATGGAAATTCTCCCACTTTGAGAGGCTTGGAAATAGGGCTTTTGCACATGAACAGCAGGAAGCTGAGTGAAATCTGTGGTTTCAGGAGGCAGATGTATGCTTGTGAGAGTGGCAGCAGATTAGAGACGAAGGCTGTGGCCACAGCATCCAGCCCGGCCTCTCCTGCCCCCTCACCTGTAGAGGTTCAAGTTTTGTGGAGGATCTGATTGAGGAAAATAAGAAGGGGAATCTTTCAGCTTCAAAATAAAAGCATCATTCAATTCACATTCATATTCCTAAACCCCAAAAAGGCAACATGGCCCACAGCGGGTGAAGGAGAGCGAGAGGAATCCCCATCCATATGCCTCTGGGGGAGCACACCTGGGTCCTCATCAAAACCCCGAAGAAGGAGACTCTCAATCCTGGAAGCTGCCCCCAAAGGAATGGAGTCAGGGTGACAGGTCTCATGAAAGGAGGGAGGGAGGGGGGTCAGGCAGGACCCCTTGTGGCCAGCATTCTTGAGTCCTTTCCCATCTGGGGTCGCCCCTAGGAAGACAAGGTCAGGCATGCAGCCCAGGGTCCCAGCTGCACCTTATATGCAGACTCCATGCAAATGGGGCTCTCCTCCTGCTCATAAAAGTGGGCCATTGCCCGGCATGTTGGGGAGACACCCAGAACTCAAGCGCCTGAGACAGGACTCCAGCAGCTCCACCATGGACTTGGTGCCAAGCTGCGTTTTCCTCCTGATCATTTCTCAAGGTCGTTCTCAGGAGTGGGGAGCGCTGAGACCTGTGCCTGTGCCTGTTGGTGCTTCCATGTGATTCTCAGTCCACCTTGTGTCTCTGTGTTTGCAGGTGTCCAATGTGAGGTGCAGCTGGTGGAGTCTGGGGGAGGCCTGGTGCAGCCTGGGGGGTCTCTGAGACTCTCCTGTGCAGCCTCTGGATTCACCTTCAGTAGCTATGAAATGAACTGGGTCCGCCAGGCTCCAGGGAAGGGGCTGGAGTGGGTCGCATACATTAATAGTGGTGGTGGTAGCACATACTACTCCAACTCCGTGAAGGGCCGCTTCACCATCTCCAGAGACAATGCCAAGAACAAGCTGTATCTACAAATGAACAGCCTGAAAGCCGAGGACACGGCCGTGTATTACTGTGCAAGAGACACATTGAGGGGAAGTCAGTGTGAGCCCAGACACAAACCTCCCTGAGGGAGACAGCTGGTCTGGCGCTCCGGACCTGCAGGGGGCGCTCAGGATCCTCAGCACAGAGAGCAGCCCCAGGTGCAGGGGCAGAGGGAGGTGAGGAGGGAAGGGCCTTCCTGTTGGGCACAGGGATTTCCTCTCAAGCTCTCAGCTGCCTCCAGGGAAGGCTCCTGCTCTTCCTCTGAGGCTCTCATTTCCTGCGTTCTCACTGCAGACCCCAGAGGAGGGGGTAACACTGTTGCTGGCAGAGGACATGTGGGCAGTGATGGGGACTCTCCTCACCACGTGTCTGTATTTCCTGCTTTTCTTTCTCCACAGAGACCATCCTCAGTGCTCTCATTGGCCTGTGGTTGGAAACTTTCCCACCAAGAGAGACCCCAGCACAGCCCAGGCCCCTGGTTGCTGAGCTCAGGGTCTGACCCACATGCCCACCTGTCCCCATAGGGCCCTTCCTTCTGACAGGCCCACAGTAAATAAAACAGGTGCACGTCCCGCGGACAGTGGAAGCTGGATGGACCCATCTGAATGGTGCAAAGGGCCCTTGAGGGCTGCTCCCTGGTCACATCCCCTGTACAGATGCCAGGACTTGCTGTTTCTGGTGCCACAGGAAATGACCTCAGCTCTCTCCCCATAGGTGTCACACCAGCACTGATGTGAGATGACAGTTTCATAGGGACGTTTAACAAGGTTCATTGGAAGTCATCTCATTTTAACAAGCAGCTGACTTGGGAAATCTCTTGGTGAAGGAGACAGCTTTACAGTTGTCCAATCTTTTTAATTTTAAATCAGGGGCTAAAGTGTGACATTTCAAAATGACACTGTTGGATATTCTGTAGATCAGTCCTTTGAGGACTCAGATGGGATAACCTGGTAGAGGCTGCTTGTGAGGTTGTTGCTCTATCTCAGCATTTTGCCAGCCTCTATGTTATAGGTGCTGGAGTGGCTAAACCTTCACTTCACTCATGTCTAAAGGATGGAGTAGACTTCCCTTACTTCCCTCCTTGCTCCTTTGGTGGGTTTCCAGGAGTTATGAGAACCCATTGTGTCTACAAAGCTTCCTCAAGTCATGCACTGCACCCTGACCTCTGTGTGTCTCCCCTTTTTCCCCTCCTATTGACAGCTCTGGTGACTACAGCACCTTTCACCACTCAGGAATGGGACTTGGTGAAACCATGAGCTGGTTCTATGAAAAGATAAAAAATACTGATGAACCATTAGCCAAACTCATCAGGAAACAAAGAGAGGGGACCCAAATAAATAAAGTCAGAAAGAAATGTGGAGACGTAACAACCAACACCCCAGAAAAAAGGGATTTTAATAAAGTGCTATGAACAACTATATGCCAACAAGCTGGACAATGTGGATGAAATGGACAAATTCCTAGAAAAACACAGTACCCCAAAACTGAAACAGGAGGAATCAAAAAACCTGAATAGGCCAATAACAACTGAGGAATTAGAAGCAGGAATCTAAAACCTCCCAGCAAACAAAAGTCCTGGTCTGGATGCCTTCACAGGGGAGTTTTACCAAACATTCAAAGAGACTAACACCTATACTCCCCAAACTATTCAAAGGAAACCAGAGAGGACACTTC